AGCTGGAAAAAAGGTACTTGCAATTATATTCAGAGTGAAAAAAATTCACCAGTACCTCTATGATCATAAATTTCTCATATATACATACCATAAACCACTATTGGGACTGTTCAAACCTGACCGAGCCATACCAACAGTGGCCGCAACTCGAATTCAGAGATGAGCGTTGATCCTTGCAGGATGTGAGCATGAAATATTGTACAAGGAGGGTGAAAAGAATGGTAAAGCAGATTGCTTTAGTCATCTACCACTCAAGGAGTGTGTCAATACTAGATTTAGACATTGAGAGGAAAGTACTCCGATGTGAAGACTGTCAGATGCAAAGCGCTACACCAGCAGCGGCACCACTACATCCCTGGGATTAGCCAGATTGTTCATGGTCTAGAATCCATGCAGATTATACAGGATCTTTCATGGGATCCATGTTTTGTTTTATCATAATTGATGCATACAGCAAGTGGATGGAGGTCTACAAAACATCTACTTCTACATCTGAAGTGACAATTGAAAAATTCAGACAGGCATTTGCAACGCTTGGAATTTCCGATGTACTTGTTATAGACAATTGGACCTGTTTCACAAGTAAAATTTTTCATTTTTACAACAGAGAATGGTATTCTACATGTGAAGACCTCACCGTAGTACACAGCATTCAATTGTTTGGCAGAGCGTGTATTTAGAATTTTTAAGAAGGGGATTAAGAAAATGGACAAGGGCTCTGGATCGCTGATGACCAAATTGCAAAGGTTTTGTTAAACTGTCGTTAAACTACCGAACCACTCCACAGACCACAAAAGGCAGCAGAACTTCTCATGAATCGGAAATTGCGGATAAAGCTAGACTTGTTTGGAGATACAAGAACTATAGTGTGGAAAATGTTAAAAACTCGGAAGTCAATAATTGTATCCCGGCCATCTCTAAATTTTGAGGTCTGTGTTTGCTGTGCTCCAAATTCGTATCGTTTCATTGGACTTTCGATATTGAATACTGTTCGTTATCTTCATATTTCATTTAAATTTTCTCCTCGTTCTACCCATGTAATAGATTTAAGTTTGGGCAATTTTTTTTTGGCTTGTCAATTAGAAAGCCTATTAAAAGGGCTTTAAATGGCTAATTGATCATTTAAACAAGATTTGAATTTAATAAAAATTTAAAGTTGAAGTTTTTTTTTTTTTCAATTGTGTATTATATTTTCAGCGTGTAACCAACATGAATTAGTCCTACCCTTGACCAAGGGTCATGGATTTCACATTTTGGTGGAAGGCTATTTGCTCATTATACAAATGCAAATAAGATGTTAAATATGATATAATTTTTCAATATATGACTAGCTACGTCCCACCCTTGGCCTAAATCCTGGACCCAGGTCTCCTGATTTTCCCAAGTATAGAAGTTGACTTAATTATCATTTTAAGTATAGGGTTGACTTATCATTCTATTAATTTTTCCTCATAAATTGATCCTAACAGGCTTTTGTGTGTCAAAGATTTTTCAGGAACATTGGTAATAATTTTTCTGACCCCCACCACCCCACCTCACTTTCAAAATCGAGGCTACGTGCCTGTGATCATGATATATTGCATTTCTTTGAAAAGCGATCAACTCATGATACAACAGTAAAACTTCGCACCATACGAAAAAGAATACAAGCCAAAGGTAGGAATTACAGGTGCCAAAAGTCGCAAATACAGCAGTCATACTCCCACTGTTATCAGGAAATTTTATATTACACCAAAATGTGAAATCAATTATGACCACAATATTGTACACATGTCTCAGTTTTAACAAAAATAATATCATATAATTCCAATCTTAATTTTATTTATTGATTTCCTGTGTTTTGATTGGACGGGAACAAATTCAAGAAAAAGTTTACACATCGATAAATTCTCAATCAGAACTACTTTCTTGATCTAGCTTTTACTGTAAAAAAAAAATTAAACAAATCGTTATGCCTACTTCTATTCAGTGTTTTAGCTAAGAAATTACAGAAACTTGAATTTAAATAAAAACAAAACTGACGACATACAGGACTGACAGACGGGAATATTATGTTTATGTCACTGTTAGATCACGAGTGTGAATTTTAAATCTCTGAAGTCACATTCTCGACGCTCCTAATAGGCCTACAAAACAAATCAGCTCAGTTCTCGGTAGCGTTATGATAGGAAAGAGAAACGTACCTTAGACTCTTGCCTCATTAGCATCAAATTCATTTTTCTACATCCTATATTCTGTCCCGTCTTTGAACAAACCAGAGCAAATCAAGATTGTCGTCGGTCTGCTACTTTCGTTTTAGAGCGTCTGTCGTTATATTGTCAACATGGCCTAGGCCTATATGCATGGTCAAGGACGAATTCTTTTGAAGTCTACTTGTATTTACGATATTTGTTGACTTAAACAATATTCTAAGAGTTTTATAAGCTTATTTATTAAATGTTTTGACAATTAAAGTTGAACTTTATCGACGTCCATCTCGATTGCGATTCATTTGCACATCGCGGCATAAAGTATTCCTACGCTGTACAGGTGTCATAACAGTATTTCACTTGAGGTTCACGTCAAATCATAGCTGACGCAAAATAATTCCTGAATCTTCCCTTCCGTTTCGGGCATTTGAACACGAGACTGGAGCTGAATTTTTTATGAGATGAAAAACAATATGTGAACTTCCTGTATTGACTAGATTCATTATAATTTAGGGCGTGCTGATTTTTCTTTATACTGTAATTGAGTGGGGAGTGATTAGGTCCTGGACTTGATTTTCAAGCACCTGCTCGACTTCGACCGAAACAAACTTGCGTGCCTTGCTGGATGGCTATGTTTTTTTGGTACTATAATCTTTATAAAGAATTGCTTTACAAGATTTGAAAAGGAAACGTCTCAAAAGTTTGTTTTCAGTTAATAAGAATATATAGCAAAATTTAATACTGTTGTGCAACTTGCAGTAAAACCAGATTTTATACTTAGAAATATTGTAGTCTATAATTTGAGGTTTAATTTCGTGAGTTTAGACGGAAAATGAGAAATAATGGCATTTTTTGGCCGTCATTGCCGTTCGTTCGCGTGTAATGGAGCATAGAAAATTAGTCCAGATTTCCTCTAAAACAATTTATCTTGACCACACAAGGGCCTGATTTCGATGTATCGGGTTGAGAGAAATGCATGAAAATTAGAAGACACTTTAACAAATACCTTGCCATCACACTCGTTAACATTATTTACTCAGAAACAATTTCAAAATCTAAATTTAAAGAATTTAGACTAAACCCAGAGCAAAATAAAAATTCTGAATTTGTGTAAATATCGGTTAATTTGGAACACAGTGGTAACAGATACAGAAATCTGGTTAGAAAAAAAGAATCATTTAGGCAAAACAATCGTAATTAAGCAGAAAACGCCATGATACTTCAATAACATGTATTATTTCAATGCTCTTTTTAACCTCACCCCCCTTCCTTATGACAAAGACTACTTCTTTCGCCCTGTTATACAAAGCAAACATATTTTAAATAATTTTTAATCCTTATGTGAATCAGTATGCATTAATTAAAATTTTGAGATGAAAAAATAACAAAAGTTCAACGCGCAAGATTATAACATACAGTTCAACTTTTGCCATATTTTTAGAAATCCGTGTTCACCGCGAACACCCCTGTCACCGAGTGTCGCCAATATTTTTCCTACCTTGAGACGGATTTTTATGAAACTTGCTTTATTATATTAAATATTCATTACAGATAGGGAAAATAGCATTATACTGACAAGCAAAAATTTTAAGTTTTATTGCAGGTGTCATAACAGTATTTCACTTGAGGTTCACGTCAAATCATGGCTGACGCAAAATAATTCCTGAATCTTCCCTTCCGTTTCGGGCATTTGAACACGAGACTGGAGCTGAATTTTTTATGAGATGAAAAACAATATGTGAACTTCCTGTATTGACTATATTCATTATAAATTAGGGCGTGCTGATTTTTCTTTATACTGTAATTGAGTGGGGAGTGATTAGGTCCTGGACTTGATTTTCAAGCACCTGCTCGACTTCGACCGAAACAAACTTGCGTGCCTTGCTGGATGGCTATGTATTTTTTGGTACTATAATCTTTATAAAGAATTGCTTTACAAGATTTGAAAAGGAAACTTCTCAAAAGTTTGTTTTCAGTTAATACCACCTACTCAAAGTTGCGCATTTTTGGTAAGAATATATAGCAAAATTTAATACTGTTGTGCAACCTACAGAAATGACAGATTGTATGGAGGCTTCAAAGAGAAATAATCTTAAAACTTCGTAATTGGAATTATAAGAATTAAACGTTCTTTTTTCAGAATTTATCGATGTGTAAACTCATGCCTTTGTACTCACAAACTTTACATAAAAGTGCTTTGCACTTTTATTCAGTTTGTGAGTACAAAGGCATGAGTTTACACATCGATAAATTCTGAAAAAAGAACGTTTAATCCTATAGTATCTTGTGTACAACTTGTAAAAAGTCAAATATAAAACATCAAATAAGATAACTAAAGGTGATCAGGTGTAACTAAAACAGTTAGTGGTATGCTCTTTATATGTGTTCAACTAACAAGCAACCTTTACTGTATAAAAACATCACAAACGTTTAAAAATTACCTCTTAATAAAATATACAACCATGTAAAATGTTATGAAAAATAGACCATACATAGCCCAGGAATTGAAAATTTACATGTAAGTATGCTACACCTTAAGTTCTCTTAAGAGAAAATGTATAATTCAATTTTTACAAAAGAAAAATTAACAGAATGATTAAATTGGAACCCAGATTAAAATGTGTCAAAATGAGGAAAATTGAACAGATAGTTTTGGCGATTAAAAAATATATTTAATGCAAAAAATTAAAAGAATCACTAGATGATGTCACAATATTCGACCTTTGACCTCTTAATATGACCCTCGACCTTTTTTTATGTATAAAGAATGGAGACTTCTTATAAATATGTGTAAATATAAGGTCTCTACTTTAAGTGGATCAAAAGTTACTTTGCATTCAATATCAGACTGTCATATCGCATGTAGATGGCATAAAAACATTCTAAAATATAGGCTCCCGAATGACCAATATATGAGATATCTCTAATTTTCAACAAATATGGCAAAAACATATCACAGCTTATTATCTTTATTACAAAGATCTTTGATTATTGACATTATAGTGATATTATTCTTTTTTCTTAGTGTACTTGATAAGAAATGAGTTAAAACAGATTTCATGGAAGTTTTATACATGTACTACCTAAAAGAAACAATTTCTCGAAATGTAGAAATACGAAAGTATCATAACAACTCGTGAGGGACAAACACGGTAATGGGAGAGCTATGATTTCTTAACTCTTAAAAATTTACATCACATAAGCAACTGTATTCTTAACTCTGAGAATAGACACTGTAACAAAACGGTACGTTGCCCTAACTCCTCTAGGCACCACAACAGGAGTGGAAGAAAAGAGAAACTCGTAAGAAATAAAGCTATGGTATGATTACTTAGGAATAAACTGAAAAAAGTATGTTATTCATAATATCAGAATTGCATGAATTACTTAACTCCTAGAGGCACATATCACAGAAGGAGTGGTAGGAGTGGTAGGAGAAATACACATCAAAACAGCAAAAGTGTGATTATGCTAAGAAATGCAAAATTCATAATATACACACAACAAAAGAATGTGATTTTTTTAACTCCTAGAGGCACACACCACAGGAAGAGTGGTAGGTAAAACATACCCTTAAAAACGTATGCCAATGGTATTAATAATCTAAGCCTGGAGACACAAATTGTAAAAACAGAAATTGTTGGAATACTAAAAGTACACATCAGAACATATAATTATAGGCAAGGTATACACAACACTGTCACAGCAGGACTGATATTACTAAATTAAACATACCACAGCAGAACTGGTACAACTAACTAAAGTATGCACACCAGCGCAGGACTAATATCACTAAACTATATACACCACAGCAGGACTGATATCACTTAACTCTATGAGACACACACCAAAATAGGAGTGGTATAGCTAAACTCTAGGATAAAAACATGACATGACTGGTATTACTAAACGAGATTCAATCCACAAAAGGAAGGGTATGATTAAAATATCTAGAAATACCACCTCAGCCATGGTTTTGTTATTCCGTTTGATATACAATAAAAGTAGTGCATGGGAAAAAATATCACACTTCAACATATAAACTAGCGATTAAAGTGTCTTCACTTCCTTCAGTTGAACATCAACAACGTCCCTCTTTGTGTTAATATTGTACTTCTCCGTGACACATCGCGGCCTTGAAGATGTAAAGGTTGGGGACAATGGACAGTATGTACAACACATCACTTTATCCAGGTATTTTGTCAAAAAAGGAAACGAATAAACTGACTGGTCGTTCTGCAGTGAAGAATCTTGTACAGCAATCCAGCGCTTTATCCCCCTCTCGTACTCCGTACCTAATATTGGTAATTAAAGTAAACTGTACTTTTCTCCACCGAGTTCTTATAGTTCTGACGCCCCTTTCTTTTGTTCAGATCAATTGCATGATTTGTTCATTATGACATATCTACAACTTCTCACTGAACATTTCAAGATACAATTTCGATATGCTAGATTTAACATTGAGTTTATAAGAACGATTTTCTTTGGGCTTTATTTCTTGCATCATTTTATTCTGTGTTCAAAAGATTTACCATCAATACTTATTATTCGTGAGATTTCTTTCAAAAATATTGGTAAACTCACCTGGAATTATGTTATCTAATAGAAACCCAATAAACCCTCCTGTAAAAGAAGCTGTTCCGAATAGCACTTTGATCACCTGATCCAAGTCCATGGAACCTGAAAGATTGGCAAGAGGAAATTTATTAGCCATTGTTCATCGGTATGTATATATATTTAATTTTATTGCACTTTACAAAACATGATTTTCAAATGAAATAAATCTTACAAAATCTTATAACGATTGTTCTACTTTCTGACTACGTGGATTTTTGTCCTTGTTTGAATTCTCTCATTATCTAAGAGTTTAACACTCATGTGTTATTGTACAGTTTTCTATTAGCTCCAAATTAGAGGAAAATTACGGACTGTATCTGGCCTTAGTAAGTAAGCACATCAATACATGATTTAAAAATCGCTGAAGTAATTAGAATTCTAGAATATTCAAACAGATAAGACATTTTCAAGATTAAATTATTAAACAATTTTTAATCTCTGAGGATATTACTTGCTCTTGTAAGTTTTTTGAATATCTGAGATTTCATTTCCCAATGCTAACCTGTTTTGACTATGTCACTGTGTTCAGTAAGCCACTGCGGAATCATTAGACCCATCAGAAAGGACACGCCCAAAATGGCTAAATTTCTTGTCGAAAACATTTCGCAAAACTGTAACACTGAGTAAAAGAACCAATAAAAATCATATCTCTTTTCATAAAACAAAAACAACAAAATACATCACGTTAGATTCACACCAAAGACCGAAGTCAGTAAGCTTAACTGGTCATAGGTCAGAAGAGTCTAGGCAATGGTCCGTATTATTTTTTTTTGTCTGTGAACAATTTAAAATGTTCTACTCAAATATTGGTTTGTTTTCAACTAAGAATTGCAAACTACATGTACAGCTTTAGCAGATGACATCAATCTTCAAAATAGGTATACAGGTATTTGTGTTTGCCAATTGTTAATTTCGATGAATGTTGAAATTAGAAAAATATACAGTGTGAAAACTACAACTGGAACTACTTAGCAACTAGGGTAAAAGAAAATGCATGAAATGTATATTAAGAATTAATGTTTTATATGGAAGTACTAGTTTGCTGAGAAAATATCAAATTCCACTAAGGAACAGCAGGGTTATGATTAGTCATAAGAATATATAATCATCTTCTTATAATGTAGATTCAAGTTTGTTTTATCATGGCCCCGGGGGTAGGATAGGGCCGTAATAGGTGATCAAAGTTCTACATGAGGATAAAAAGGAAAACTAGTACTGAAGCAAAACTAAGACAAAATGTGATTAGATGAGATTGTTTAAACTTTAAGTTCAAATGAGATTAAAAACTATCTCCATTCTAGTTATCTATTAAGAGAAACTTACCAGAAATTCCTACGGAGGCGACCATACCTAAGCCTAGTAAGAGAGTTCCTCCGATAATCGGGTCTGGTATAAGGGCTAGTATGGCTCCTACTTTTCCAACCAAGCCACACAATATAAGGATTAGTCCAGCTGTTACAAACACCGCTCTACTAGCTATCTTATCAAAAAGAAGAACTTTGATAAAATTCATATCGATCATATTATTATTATTATTATTTTTCTCTTGGTTTTCGCTTTAGACACTATATATAAAAGTTCAGCAAGTACTTAGTAATACACTATTCTCGGGTCGATTTCTAAAATTCAACATTTAGTAAATCTTTGTGATCGAAAAGATCAGCAAAGATATTACCAAAATCTTCATTTCAATAAAGCAATAATTTTTACTCATTGTAAACTTTCAAACATTAAAATTACACCTTTTTTGAAGACACCTTTATGATGTGAGCTTCTTACCTTTGTTATGCCAATGATTCCAATATTACTACTGTATGACGTAGTGGCGTGCCCCGCCCCCATAATACCGGAAACAATACTAGACGCGCCCTCTATAGCGATGCCTCTATTGATTGCGTGCACTGGTGGAGGAGTTGCTTCCGACATCCTTGCAGCCGCAAAATAATCTCCGACTGATTCAAAAATGGACGATATGGTTGCAGCCAGCATTCCCATGTATCCAGCAATGCTGTATGTTGGCATTCCAAAGGGAACTACATAAAGATGAGTTATATATTAATGATTGAAATTTGAGAATCTTTGTCTTAAGGGAAAAAACAAATAGGCCCAACCTTTGATGTTAGTTTACCTACTGAAACATACACATGTAGTCTGGTTGAGGCTACTTGGACCCTTGCTTTAACTTTTATTAATTATTCTCCACAAATCTATTTAGAATTCATGGAAAATATCCATATTATGTAGAAGTACTCTTAAAATGATTTAAAAATATGCTTGAGTTCCTCATCGACAGTTTCTATGTAGTCTTTGGAGACAACATTTTCCAACAATCTGTTTGAATTCCGATAGGAACTTACTGTCCTTTACTAGCCGACCTGTTAATTTTTATAAATTAGATTTTATTCTAAAAATTCTACCCGAAAACAAAAAAAACTCGTGCTGTCTTCAATTCGACATCGATACATAGATAACATCTGATCATTTTATAATATCGTTTTGTTTTTGTTTTTTGTTTTTTTTCATTCAAATGTCGACTCGATATCTCTGTGAACGAGAAATAAAAGACAACAGAGTCTGACACATCTATTTCATATTTGGATGTTTAACTGAAAATAAACGCCAATTGTCAACTAAAAACTGAACTGTATGATAAACGGGATGAGCTTTTCCATCGAATTGCCCTATTTATGCAGTATTCCACTTTCACCTGCATATGTTGTTTACGTCTCCCAGCTGATATGGTACGCAAATTCAAGTTGTAAGTATGATCAATTTTCAAACCGAAGCAGGTTACTGACGAATAAATTTATATAACATGACTGGTAAAGTCAATATTTTGCAAATTATATGGTCGTTATAACGATCTAGTTTGCAAATACAGCCTATCATTGGGTCGAATTTTAACCATCATATTTCAACCAATCGGCAATGGATGCTTACTCCCGGGCACCTGATCCCACACCCTGGTGTTTCCAGGGGTTTGTTCACAATTTGTATTCTCTACACCTTTTTTCTTGTTATGTGACAAAATTTGAACCGAAAACATAAATCAATTTTGCTACTAGGAAAATGAGTCTTTAGCAGCTTAGTATTTTTTGAAGATTTGTAGGCATTCTGGAATTGTTTCTATAAAATTGTGGAATAAACTGCTATTTTAATGAGTTTTCCTACATCATTCATTGTTTAAAGTCACTTAAGGTCAAGATCCAGTAAATGAAAGGTGCCTTCAGATTTCTCAAATTTGAGAAACAAGTTCTTTCAACGATCCTTTACAAATATAGCTTGGCGAAATTAAGTGTATCGGGGCATAATTTTTAGATAAACTCAACGAAAAATGATACTTTAAACTGTTATTTTCAATGAAAAATGAAGGAAGTCAGGTATAAATATGGGTTTTTTTCCTTCTCAGAGAAAGAAAATGTATCAATATTGCCTACAGTCTCTCAGAAAACAGTTTTTCATATCTTCTTGACCTCTTCTTTAAAATGATATTAATTTGAATATAGGTATCGGGGTTAATTTTGACATGATTTCAAATTGAATTACATGAAAATGTTTCATTTTCTACATAATTCTATAATAGCCGTAAAGTACTGGAAAAATTAAGTTTAAATCAATTATGACGTCATAATGGATCTAGCATCAAAAAGACAGTCTAAACTCATTTACTAGATCTTGACCTTAAAAGCCTAATTTTCATAATGTTTTCCGTTTTCCTTAAAGCCTGGATTGGCCATTTACATAATCAAAAATTCCTTCTTAAAATTCCATAGAGAATGTAAGAACTAGGTGCAGACCCTTCGATCACTAGATTCTTAAAAAAATAATAAGAAGAAGAACATTACATGGGAGGGGAAAACTGAACCATGGAGTCTCGTACAAAATGCCGACTTTGGAATCTGTTCTGGCCTTGAATGCTGGCTCAGTGCTGTTCTTAGGTAAAACGTCAGTCTCAGTCAAAATAAAGGAAAATAGCCACACGACAGCAATAGTTAGAACAACCGGAAATAATTGGAAAATTGGAAGTCTGGTAGCGTGACATTTCTCCTTTCTGGAAAAACTTGGGACCGGAATGTGAACTTTGTTTATAAATGTTGAAAACAGGAACAACAATGCAAGCGTTCTGAAAAGAAAGAATTATTGAGAAAATTAAGAGATTTCATTGATTAACGATTCATCTTGAATAATGACAGTATGTGCTACTAATAAACATGATAGACCAAGAACAATTATAATAAATACTTGGACATAATAATTATTCTATACGTATTTTAAGTCAAAAAATATATCGTTAATATCCATTCATATTATTTGACCATGTTTGCAAATACAACCTACCGGTTGGTTTTTTTTACCTATTGTTAGGCCATTATTTTATACCAATTCTCATTATTAATTACCCCGTTTACCTGACACATACATACTCATCCTAGGTATTTTCCCTGTTCACGATTCGTGATTTGTATTTTTTTTTACAGGCTTTACAATATTGATCACCATTCGTTATCAGTATTAAAGGGGTTGAAAAGTTTAAGATATCCTAAGTGAAGACTGCATGAGGACTTACAGTAGAGATATCCCCCATTGTTTTTCGCAGAAACTAGCCACCACACCGGTCAGAGAAAGACCTATGAGGGAGATCGTGGGCGCGATCGTCAAAGGTCCAACAAATCTCAGAATCAAACCAATAAGACCAAGACCCCCAACCAAGACCTGCGTCAATGAGGCTAGGATAAGGTTACCCTGGACCTACAAGTAAAATATCCTGAAAATTACTTTTATAAAACACATGGGACAATAAAAATATCCTCTCTAACAAAAATAATACTACTAGCATAGTTTACTATAGCTTACAATAATTAACTAAAGTTTACTATAGTTAATCAAAGTGTTTACTATAGTAAATCGAAGTTTTTACTATGGTAAATCAAAGTATTTTCATGGGTTTCATTATTTTATGTTCTATAAGTCAAACATGCACATTTTTGGTATAAAACGGAAATATTACTTTATATTCAATTATATTTTTCCAAATTTTACTTCATTGTTATCGAATTGAAGGGATTTTATACTTTGAAATCTCAGAAAAGTCCTAGAGTAAAGTTTCAGAGTAAATCAAAGTATAAAAGTATTTACTATAGTTAACTATAGTTGATTAAAGTACATATTTGTTAGGACTGAACCGAAAAGAAAAAAATCATTTATCGGTAAAATGTTCCCCTAGAAACAGATCAGTAATTATCGTATTGCAATTGGTCACTAGACTTTTGAAATTTTATCCAGGGTCTTACATAAAATAAATGGAATAACAATCTAATGAACTATCGCCCGGAAACTAGTCTTGGTGAAGGCTACTCGGAACCAACTGTGAAACAAATAATAATCCAAGGAACCACTGCCTGGGACTATGGGATACGTAAAGTGAAATAATACATAGAAAATTCAACAAAATTAATCAACAAAAGTAAAAGCTATTTGGGTGAGTTCAAAAAAAAAAAAAAAAAAAAAAAAAAAAAGACCAAACACATATTTTCCAACCTGCACTAAAAGTACGGGCAATGGGAATAAATTTTTATGTCTCAGCATGTATCTTTAGATAGTGCCTAAATACCTGCTAAATATCTCATTGATATCTCAATTCACAAAAAAAGTTATGCCCAAAAATGATGCTAAAATGTCAGGAGTGCAACACCTTTTTGTGACATTTTGAAAATTCAATATTTTTTGAAGATCTTTGAAATAAATAATACTGGTTTATGGTGGAAATAAAGACTTTCCTGATAATATTCAAAGTATTGAGCTTTAAATGAAATATGTGGAGATAACGAACAGTATTCGAGCTCAAATGTCCATTAAACATTATAAAATAGAAGCAGAGCAAACACGAACCTCTAAGACATCAGAGGTGGGATCAGGTGCCATGGAGGAGTGAGCATCCCCTGCCGACCGGTCACACCCGCCGTGTGCTCCTTGTTATAATCGGGATATAACGGAAAAATCCGTCGACAATTCAGTGTATAAATAATGGCCTAACAATCAATGTAGACTGTAGCGACTTTTGTTTGACCAAGTTGTGGTCATTGCTGATGTTGAAAAAAAAATGTTATACCATTTCAGGAGTGCAACAGAAAAAAAAAGTAGTGTTGTCAAAAAAAACATCGATTTTAAAAATCTAAAAGACAATTAAGTCAAAAAAGAATTTTCAAAGTGTGAAACAATAACTGATATAGTTATATCAGTTAGCAGCATGAATGAGAGTCAAGTATCTGTGCATACCCAATAATGTCAGGAGTGCAACATTTGAAGTTTTGTTCCCCAGCATGAAAAAAAAAAACTTTTAAGTATATGATTCTCTGATTTCTATTTTGGAAAATAAAGACACAAAGAAGATATATAGCAAATAGATTTATTAATTACAGGGTATGTCTGTGTTTCAGATTTATATTTCTATGGTCAGGAGTGCAACACATTTTTTTTAAAGATTCAAGTTACATGTATATGATGAAAAGACTTCTACTCATGCTAAGAAATATTCTTTAATTAATAATGATCTATTTGAATAATTTAGTACTAAATTATTGACAGTTTTATTGTTAAAATCCTTCTCTTTTTAATTTTATCAATCCATGTGTGTTTTTATCTTTTCTCTGATTTTTTATAAGAATGTGAAAAATAAACACACTGAAAAATTGTTAGAAAGTTCAAGTAACTCCACCTCAACTTCACTGAAACAAAAGAACAAGTTCTGATATAATTTTCGCTTCACAATTCTACTTAAAAGACTCTCGTGCTCTTGGTCAGGAGTGCAACAAATATGTTAGAATTATTGCTGATCAAATATGAATAAATATAAAGAAAAAAAATTATGACTAAAAATGTTTCTGGTTGACCTCAGTTGCTTACAGTGTTTGTCCTGTGAAGGGAAATATACTATAAAATATATTTTATCCTCTAAATATATATTTTAGCTAGTTTTTTGGCATAAATTGAGAATAATTCAAGATATAGAGCCAAGTTTGAATACTTTCATGTGTTTTAAATGCGAAGTATTGGACTATAAATATTGCACAATTTCTTTACCACTTGATGTTGCTAACACTTTATGAATTTTTCTGTTGTGTGGTTTTAATTCTTAATTTTACAGCAGTCAGGAGTGCAACAAAACTGTTATATAATTATCATTGATCTTCATCTATTTAATAAAAAATAAATTTGATGTTCAAAACATTATGTCTATCAACTAATTAAAGACATTTTACAGTCAATTCAGAGAATAGTTTTCATCGCTTAACACATATTTTTTAAATACAATGTATATATATAACACATTAAAAAAAAGTCATGTTTTGAAGTCTTGAAAATATGAAAAATTTGCAGAGATTTTATATGTTTCTCTTATCTTTTTTTCTAATTGTAATTCCAATACTGTTTTCCCGAAACTTAATTATAAATATTCCTTGTATGAAAAGGGAAATATATGCCTTGAAACATGCGTTCACCATTTAAAATTTGTGACAAAAGCACATATATGAACTCAAAAGAAGCAATTTATATTTTTCGTACAGTAGAACACATATTAAACTATTTCCAGCGTGTTTATCTTTCAAATCTTCATAAACATCTTTGTCATTTCTGTGTTAATGTAGGGAACATCAGACCAGGTGACACGGTGTCCTTTTGAAGTGTGGTCATCAAACCTACCTCTGATCTTTGATGGCTAGTGTGAAAGTTAGAGTGCATTAAGATAGCTATCAATTCTATAGCTTTCACGGCCAATTTCATTGATGTGCTTTAAACCAAGAATATTTTTCATACCTCTCTTATCCTAATTTCCCAATTTATGTTTGTTGTGTTGCTTCCAGAGGAAATTTCATCTAAAAATTAATAACGTTTTAAAACTATAGGTTAAAGCTTATGGAATGAAACTCAATCAAAGCACTTAATGATTGTCCATTCATTAAATATTCCAATATGTTAATAATAAATAACATATCAATTACATTAATTCATGTATACAGATTAATAATGCGAACAATAAAAATGTCATTTTGATCAACATAACCAAAAAATAGTCAATGGGCAATTATTCCTACTGAAATAGTAAATATATGTACCTATGGAATAGTAAACCGAAGATACGAATATGCCATCAACGAAATATTTTGGTGATGGTAATTTCTTTCCACAAATTCTATTCAATAAAAAAAATGTTAAAAGTAGTCTTAACGACAATTCAATTCATTTTTAGATAAAATGTGATGAGTAGGTTACCGTGTTCGGAACACTTAAACCGATCCAGTGTCATCATCACCACTATTGGGGCGACAAAAGTGCTGGATCCGCCCTGAATAATAGGTAATCTACAGAATGAAAAAAATCTTATAAAGGACTATACGCTAAATGGACGGAAAGAAAAAAATGACTATATTTTGACATGTCTATTTAAATTCCAATATTGTAACACACCTTTAAAGGAATAAATAAATATATTTTTTTAAAAAAGTTTCGAAGAAAATCCATTAATTGAAGAGAATATTGAAAAAATATAGACTTCTTATGGTGTTCAGTGTTCTTCCTTTTTCCATTATCCTTATAAATCTATACATTGTTTTTCACTTTATACATCTAGGACATTATTGTGAAATTTTAACTGAAAAATGAATTTTTATGCGGCTTTATTCATTTATTTTTTAAATATATATTAAGTTATTATTTCCATGATTTTTCTTTAAGTTTTTTAAGGTATTCAATGTATAATGAAGGGATATTGAACAATTTTGAATCATTTGAAACTAGTTAAACAAGCATTGCTAAATGATGATGAAAGTGAAATGAACCAAATTCGCATGACTGATAACATGTAAAAAGCTGACCATTTTGCACCTTAAACTTTTTTGAAGATTATCTGCCCTTGATGAAAAGAAGAAAAGGACAAGGTATGGTAACGGCCGAATCTAGTCCCTTATTTGATGTAAAAATCAGAACACAGATAAAATTGTGATAGTTTGTAGTTAAAAACTTAAAATGATGCTTGTTTTAAAACCAGCACTAATTTTGATTCAAAGCTTACACGGAGGCCACAAGAGGGTGCAGAAGTAGGACATTTTCCCGAATTTCCTCAATTCTTGTGGAATTTCGTCAAATCTAAGATACTTTTCACTTCGGGAAACATAGAGCACAAGCTTGCCTATCTGAGATTTTTATACATAAGATGCATCTGATACTATTGTATGAAATATATAAATATGGTAGATAGGCAAGCTTATGTTCTATGTTTTCTGATACAACATGTGCTGTAAAATAGATGAAAATTTGCATAAAAATGAGAAAATTCGGAAATTGACATATTTTCTGAACTTCCTGTGACCTCTGTGTATCCCATAACTTAGAACCAATACTCATTTTGTGGCATGGATGACAACAGGTTTCTATTGATAAACAGTTGCATCATTCTAAAAGACGCCCCAAACCAGGGGCCAAAAAGGGGTCTTAGTCTATCTTGTCCTTTAATTTTGTCAAATCATCTATGGTAAATGATTTATTTTATTTCATATTTTAATAAAGAGAGAGATTATGCATATTTTCACCAAGAGATTTGTATGAAATTCAAATTACTTTTTACAATATCTTAATTATACATATGCTGCCCATAGACGTCAATGTAAAATTTACGGTGCAATTAATTGGACAATAATCAAAATTTTGTAAATTCCTTTGGTGAAGTATTTTTATTTGATAACACCTTCAAAATGCTACCAAGATTCAAAATATTGGACCATTCATTTATTAGGTACAAAATATGGTCGTTATACATTGAATACCTTAAAGCATCTGTCCTCAGGCTAACTCTTTTAATGATTTCATTTCATATGTTTGTTTTGAATTGGAAAACTGTTCCTTTGATTACTGTTATTACCTGACACCCACAGCACACTGCAGAATGGTAGCGATTCCACACATAAACATAGTGATACTAAGAAGCCGGGCCCGGACCTCGCTTTCGTTCTCTGGACAGAAGATAGTGGTCAAGATAAAAGGGAGGGACAAAGAACCCCCAATCGTCATGAAAGCTTGCTGTGAATAATATTAGTTATATAATGACATGCAGCTTCACTCATTAGGTATTGACTAAAGACAATCAAAATTCTCACATATACATTGTACTATGTATATAATGAATACTTTTTTCAAACGAGGATAAAAATCAAGCACCTTATATGGTTTTAAAATTAAAACGGAATTTTTTTTTTTATTTTTTAAATGCCAAATTCGACATCATCATTCCTTATACTCCATACAACTTTTAACATGTTATTCCTCACTCGTTTTCCACATGTATTGCTAATTATTTATCAATATTTTTATGAAAAGACAACAATGTAAACTAGCGAACATTCTAAATGTCGTATCCTTGATATTTATGAAATTTATTTTACCTGGAGTTTTTACTTAAGCATAGTTCAAGAGGGAAATACGGAGTAAACTTGTAATGGTTCGAACTTTTCCTGACTGTTACCTAAACAGGAGTATTTAGAGTCACTGGTCCATATAAATTGATCGAGATGTTCCCTTTTGCGTGACATAATGTATGTTAATTAATACATAAATCTTTGCTATATGTATCTAATTTAATAAGTTTACGAATCTTACTCTATACGTCATATCTAGTGCCTGATTCACATGTTACAAAATCATTTCATGTCACTTGTTTGTATTGCAAACGGTAAATTTAAGTCCATATTTTAGGTGAACACTAAATTTTATCCTTGTCTTCAGATATACACCCATCGAGATGGTGTCTCCTTATACAAATGTATCTCTGTTTAACATTCAAGCGGCCTGGAATCTTTCATTGGTACAATTCAATAAACAAAATTATAACAAAATGAAGAAAAAAGACTACTGTGCCGTTTTTAAGCTTACCTGTAATCCAAACGGAATCATTAGATGTATCGGTGGCCGTGTATCCACAGGGTACAGAATTGTCCTCACTGTGTCTACAGGAACCTTGTCATTCCCTGGTCCCTCCGCATCTTCCTTACTTCCCTGCTTCTCTATCCCCTCATCATTCCTCCCCAAAGTTCCCGCTGACTCGGTGTCCAACATCACGACCGACTGATTACGGGACAGCTTGTCTTTTGTCCTCCTTACCAATACCACGTGTTCTGTTCTCTTTTCATAACACTAGTTTCCCGTTGAACTTTTGCATTAATGTCAAAACAAATATATATATATAAACCCACTCATGTCTTTTTACTCATTAAGCTAATTTTCATATAAAGGTTAATTTTTTCTTGTGTGTTTTTTCCCTTTGTCATTTAATTTGATATTTTTTCGAACATCCACAAGAAATTATTTTTATTTTTCTTGTATATTTCTCAAACAATAAAAAAATACAAGGGCAAATTATAGTTGATTATAATGATAATTTTGACACTATGAAAACTAAATTAACTACAGTGTTAACTTTGACACTTTGATTTACTATATTGATCACTAAGACACTTTGATTTACTATAGTGATAACTTTGACACTTTGATTTACTATTAAGACACTACAGTGATAACTTTGATTTACTGTAGTAATAACTTTGAAAACTTTTATTTGCTACAGTGATTACTACGAAAACTTTGATTTATTACAGCTTTCAATCAAATGTACTTTATATCGTTGTGTATGAAAAAGGCGAAGATAACGAAAAGTGATCGATCTCAAAAAAATCTACAAACAATACAAATTTGTGAACTGGGCATAAAACACGGACCCCAGGAAATTTCAGAGGTGGGATCAGGTGCCTAGAAAGAATAAGAGTCCCCTGTTGACCGTTACACCCCTCGTGAACCCCATGTATTGATCAGGTAAACTGAACATTCAGTAGTCAAATTTAGTATAAAAACAAAGGCCTTACCATTGATATGCACAAGAAAAATATGCAAATCTCTCTGTGGACAGAATACATTCATGTATATTGTTAAAAACGCATTAATGTATCATTTGTGAAATTTTAACACTCATAAAAATTAAAAAAAAAAGTAATCTCCATGTTGTAAATAAATAAATAACAAGGATATATACAAGAAAGAACCAGTAAACTGCAACATTTTGAATAAAATTATGATTATTGTCTCCATTCAAAACAATTTCTGAAGAGAAAGGCAATATGATAACTGTATACAAGTGTCTGCCTTTGCATATTTATACCGTCAATCACGAGCACTGCATGACGATATTCACTTTTTTTTTTTAAATCGGAGTTTTACGGTGAGGAACGTATCACAAAGACAAAAATACCTACATATACACTCCCCACTCCAATGGATACTAGATATACATAATACCTGTAATGCTTCAAAGATTTCCAGAAGTCTCACTAACAGCTAAGCAGATCACATCTCAGCCTTTTTTGTCACTGGGATTGACGGAAAAGGACGATTGTGATCCTATCGTCATCTAGAGTTACAAAGGGGTGAGGGATGAGGGACAGTAAAAAAAAAAAGAAAATTTGAGAGAACATTCAGAGTGCCCATATCTTTTAGAATTTTAGTTAGAATTCTAGAAAAGACTTACCCTCATACTAATGGCCCATCACTGAGTATACCTTTCCGTAGACGTAAAGAAGAATACTGGATTAGAAAACTAGGCACGGCCTTTCCGTATGGTAGCAATGACAATGTCGATAGTGTTGGGAATCTTTCAAGCCCACTGTGTAGCAATAATGTGATTGAACAGTACACAGAGACGTAAGACATCGGTCTTACGATAAACCTATTATACGCGATGTTTAGATCTCCTTTGATTCACTACTACCTTATGTAAATAAACAGTTAGGCCAAACTTTACTGTTTTGAATAGTCTGTTTGTAAAAGTCAAGGAAAGTCCATATTTGGATTCTTTGACGCAAGATTACAGGCTCGAATCTGTGATAATGTATATTGCAAATCATAACCTCTTTAAACAGCCCCGTTTCATGGAAGGAAATACTGCTCAAACAACACGTTTGTTTCTTAAACTTCAATATGCCAACAAAGGAATTGATGCAATTAATATAAGTAATATTCTTTATCACATAAAGGTCAAGTCTTGTATTCTATCTTATTTCAAGTTGAAGTCCACACCTTGTATTTCTTACAAATATACATTGAGAATTAATTCCAAATTTTTAAAAAACTTTACAGTGCCTAGATATAGAGCATCTGAAATATAATCCTCCAACGTGTTCATGTTCTTTTTCACCCTACAACTATAGTTCTGCTGGACACGTCATTACTGGTGACGTAAATATAGTTAATAATGAGGACCTTAAATCACTTATTATAAAGGGGGCCAAAGCCTAGGGAACCCCGATCTTTCAGCTGGCGTCATAATTTCATAAACATTATGAACTCTGTAGGAGATTACGCCAGACGCTGGGCCAAATAAGAAGACCTTGACAATTTGCCATATTAAAAGTATCAGATGGATGTTAAAATCTCGAATTAAGCGATTGAAGGGCAATATCAAGACTATCCATCCTTCTGTCTTCAGAAGCAGAAGTGAAACAAGAGTTAGATAGATTGCACGATCAATTTGTACTGGTCCAGGCTGAAAAAGCAGGTGACAAAATTGTCTTTGTTTGTAAGGCTCATTATTTGAATTGTATTTCAGAGGAACTAGGATTTAATGCTGCAAGTGGTAATCCAATTACCATAGCGCCCTTTCTAAGAAGGAAATTCTTCAAAATCATATGTCAGTTTTAAATAGTTTTAATATTCCAAACAATCAAAATTAATTTGAATTACCATACCTATACTGGATTCCAAAAACTCCATAAAAATCCTTACAAACAAAGATATATAGCGGGTTCCAGTAAATGTTCTACCAAGCCTCTTTCTTTACTCGTCACAAAAATATTTACAGCAGTCAAGGAGAACCTTCAGGAGTACTGTACAACAGTATATTCGAGAAGTGGTGTAAATCAGATGTGGATACTTAAAAATTCCAAGGAACTTTTAAAAATTTGAAATCACAAAATTTTACCAAAATCTATAACATCAAAACTTACGACTTTTCAACACTTTATACAACCATTCCTCACGATAAATTTAAGTCCAGGTTTTTTGACATCATAGACAGCTGGGTTTTTTTTTTTAATAAAAATTGAACTAAATTTACTTACCTTGTCTTTGGTCATTTGCAAAACAATTAGTTGATGGTACAAGGATATCAACTGTCTCGTTTAAAGTCAACATTTCGCAAATTCTATGGCCGATACATTGACCTTGTCAACAAATACAATCTGTAGTGAAATCGAATGTTGACTGACGTTTTTCATAATAATTGATAGGCCATTATTTTCGCACTGAATTGTCTACAGATTTTTCCGTTTGCCCGATCTTGACAAGGAGCACACGGTGGGTATGACGGTCGACTGGGGGTGCTTGCTCCTCCATGGCACCTGATCACATCTCTGATGTTTTTAGAGGGCTGTGTTTGTTCTGCTACCAATTTGTATTGTTTCAATGTATTTTTGAGTTTGATTACTGTTCGTTATCTTTGTATTTCAATGGTAATGCAATCCAATTATATCCACAGGTCCCTTTCAAAGGCTGAAATTCTTTAAATCCACTTTCCGGTTTTTAATACTTTTAGAATACCAGTCAACAGATCTGATTTTGATTTACCTTAACTATACTGGATTCCAAAATTCCCTTATAAATCCTTACAAAGATATTTTGCAGGGTCTAGTAAATGTTCAACCAAGCCCCAAACAAAGATCTATTTGTTATCGTAACTTTTAATACATATTACATGTATAATGAAATTAATTTAAGTTTTCTTTACCGATTTAACAACCGGGGAGTCATTTACAAAAAAAAAGTAGAAATGATCCTGCGGATACTTCTAATTGATCATGTACAAGATTATTTTTTCTTTTCAATTTCAGATTAATGGTGTGTTATCTGGGAACGACATTTACGACTTTCATTTTGAAATACTCCGAAAAAATAATAAAATATATTGAATGACTACATGTAGCTGTAAAATTTAACAGTTTGACTGATTCACATCAATGTGGAATAATAATGACGGCTCTAAGCTACATCAGGTTATATTTCAGGTTCATTAAGTTAATGACCACAGATTTTGTAGGTGATTGAATTGTGTGTCTCTTCGTCCTTTTAATTCAAACTAAAGAGAATTTGGAAAATACGCATCTCCACCAAACTTTGTAAAAACCATAATGCGCAAGGTCCTTGAGTAATATTTACAGCATCGAGAAATATTCCCCCACATGTAAGGTATATGTAATTTCTTCCTATTGGAATTAAAGTGTTCGTATTTCTGGGAAATTTTGCGATCATGCTGGTTAACAATAACATGTACCGTATATTATCTGGATCTTTGTACAATTTAATTCTTTCCACGTTGTGCCTGTTTGATCAGGTTTTTAGGTCACCTGAGTCACTCAGGTGACCTATTGCCATCTGTTTTCGTCCGTCGTCGTCCGTCGTCCATCGTCCTTCGGTCGTAAACTTTTGAACATTTTCAGCTTCTTCTCTTGAACCACTTAACTAATTTCAACCAATTTTGGCATATAGCATCAATGGGTGAAGGGGTACAAAAATTGTGAATTTCACAGTCTCTGTCCCCTGGGGCCTGAGGGGTGGGGCTAAAACCATCAAAATTAGTGCTATCTTTAAAAAATTTCTTCTTTACTCCTGGACATCAAGCAGTCAAACTGTTGGCATGATTGTAATAAGCATTGAGCCCTCTACCAAAATTGTGAAATTCATGGCCCTAGGGTCAGGGGTTCTGGTGCTAGGGCGGGGCTTTATAGATCATATAGTAAAAGTGCATTATTTCTTTGAAAATCTTCTTCTCTACTCCTGGGTATTATTGAAACAAATTGAATACATAGTTATGATAAGCAAGGGTGACTCTACCAAAATTGTGAAATTCATAGCCCGAGGGTCAGGGGTTCTGGTGCTAGGGCGGGGCTATATAGATCATGTAGTGAAAGTGCATTATTTCTTTGAAAATCTTCTTCTCTACTCCTGGGTATTATTGAAACAAATTAAATACATTGTTATGATAAGCAAGGGTGAGTCTACCAAAATTATGAAAT